AGAAAATTCACTTTTGCAAACGAGTGATAGACAGTTAGAACAAGTTAGGCGAGGTGTTGGAGGCCTAAAACTATCGGTAGTTTCAAAGTGTTATATGACAATGTTGGGAAGACAGGACACCAGCTCTCATCCTATAACTACATTCATGTAACCACTAGGTAGAAGCACCCAGAGCAGCTGGTCACTTATAAGCCATCCAACCTGTTTTTACTATATTCCATCAAAAAAGGTGTACAGCAGGGATATTTTTGTTCGGTTTAAGATACAAAATAGGAGAAGTCGTCAATGTCGTGCAGCTTCTCAACAGCGCATGTGAAATTAAAATAAAAAAAATTAAAATAATGTCAATCAAGTGTGGCCCTGATTGCTGTGGCCTGAAGGGCAGTTTGTAAAGGATGTTGAGTATAGTACAGTACATTACTGTCTAAGTTCACTTATCAAGACTATATGGGAAGGACCTCCTCACCAGGTAAGTCACACAGAGATATTTTTTTTTTTTTTTTTTTTTTTTTTTTTTTTTTTTTTTTTTTTTTGAGATATATACAAGAGTTGTTACATTCTTGTACAGCCACTAGTACGCGTAGCGTTTCGGGCAAGTACTTAATCCTATGGTCCCTGGAATACGATCCCTGCCGCGAAGAATCGTTTTTTCATCCAAGTACACATTTTACTGTTGCGTTAAACAGAGGCTACAGTTAAGGAATTGCGCCCAGTAAATCCTCCCCGGCCAGGATACGAACCCATGACAGCGCTCGCGATCCTCCCCGGCCAGGATACGAACCCATGACATAGCGCTCGCGGAAAGAAAGAACTTTTTAGTGTCAGAGTGGTTGACAAATGGAATGCATTAGGAAGTGATGTGGTGGAGGCTGACTCCATACACAGTTTCAAGTGTAGATATGATAGAGCCCAGTAGGCTCGGGAACCTGTACACCTGTTGATTGACGATTGAGAGGCGGGACCAAAGAGCCAGAGCTCAACCCCTGCAAACACAACTAGGTGAGTACAACTAGGTGAGTACATCCAGATAAGCTGAATTCTTACAGGCAAGGTCCAAAAATGACCATATTTGCAATTTTTTGTACCACAACCAACATACAAAACTGTAATTTGAATTTCCACACACCCTATAAATTAAAAATATAATTTACGAGAGAAACTTCAGCTTACCTTGTACAGTAGTAGTTTGTCTTCTTGTAATTCAAAAAATTACTGGTACAAAGTTCCACAATTTTATATTTGGTGTGGTAATTAAATTTCCTGTAAACACAGCACTGCTGGGTTTATGTCATTAATAAGTACTCAGTTTTTTTGTAGGTGACCCAAAGCCTCCAATAATTTTCATTGTAATACAGTACACTTTATTCATATCTGGGATGGTGCCACTAAATATGTACTATATTATGCATCAGTGTATTAGGCTTATGGTGTTAGTTTACAGTTTTGTTAGCATCAAATACAAAACCTTTTCCAGTTTGCCTAAATACAATTGTACCAAATTCTAGTACTTTCTAGTATTCTAGTACAAATCCAGTACTTTCTAACTCTCCATTACGTCAATATATGCACTATGGTTCACGTTGTTACAAGAACTATCTAAACAGGAGGACGAGTAGAGTTTTATTTTTGTGAGAACTATCAATTCAGTGTACATTTGGGCCTTTTCAGTGGAATAGAAAACAAGTGATTGAATTTGATTTTTTCTAATTATGTAATGAAAAACAGGTGTTACTTTCTCTGAAGTAGAACAGGTTTCCAGTTGACTACCTCACCTTGAGGTTACCTGAGGTGTTTCCGGGGCTTATCGTCCCTGCGGCCCGATCCTCGACCAGGCCTCCTCGTTGCTGGACTGTCAACCAGGCTGTTTGACACGGCTGCTAGCAGCCTAACTTAAGAATCACAGCCTGGTTGATCAGGTATCCTTTGAAGGTGCTTATCGAGTTCTCTCTTGAACACTGTGAGGGGTCGGCCAGTTATGCCCCTTATGTGTAGTGGAAGCGTGTTGAACAGTCTCGAGCCTTTGATGCTGATAGTTCTTTCTCAGAGTAAGGAAATCTTAGGCTAGGCAAGGAAATCTCTTTTCTTCTTATCTTTCATCCACCAATTTCTCTGTAGAGCTCTCCTCTGTATGGGGTCATTGTTCTCTAAACAGACTTCCATTTTGCTAATCCTTTGTTTCTTCTTTCTCTATGATGACTCATTTTTTTATCCTTATTGTTACTCACGTCTAACTTTATTGTTTAAATAATACTTCACAGGTGGGGAGATCTCCCATAATACTGTATTAGCATGAAGTTATAGGATCATTATTTAAATAAATACCTGAAATGCTTAATATTCAATTATGTTGAGTAATTTTACAACTCGTCCTAATCCTAGCAAATTCTAAAATACTGTATATATTCTTCATCATTATATGTTAAACACTGCATTTATTTATTTACATTTTATGATCAACAACAATTAAAGCCATGCACAACATATATGCACCAAACTTCTGAAAATGACAATGCGGCACCTTACATGATATCACATGAATGGGTACTCCCAATTCCTAATGAAGTACATAATAGCTTCACTCCATCTATACTTAATTTAAAAGTATATAAAAAACCAACATTAAGTCACTCATCATGTAAACTATATTAATACTATACACAGATCTATCCAAGAATCTCTTGTCACAACTTCATCTGTACTGTACTATCTAAAAATATAAAAATATCACTACATCACCACTACCATTTCCCATTATTAACTATAATATATCCACTGGTTTTCATTAACAATTTACTATACTGTACTGTACTTCTGTTAACTTCCAAATTTCAACAAATTCTCACTGTACAGTAATCTTAAATAATGTGTTTGTTTTAAGACACCCTAAATGCTGTGTTTTAATGCTTTCAAGAATGTACAGTAATTATGTATCAACATTGTTATGTAATCCATTATTATGTAGGTTATTTTGAGGTTATCTTGAGATGATTTTGGGGCTTAGCGTCACCGCAGCCCGGTCCTCGACCAGGCTTCCTTTTTGTTACACACCCCCAGGAAGCAGCCAGTAGCAGCTGTCTAACTCCCAGGGACTTATTTTTATTAATAGGTGAACAGAGGCATTAGGGTGAAAGAAACTATACTCATTTGTTTCCACCTCCACCGGGGGATGGAACCCGGAACCTCAGGACTACGAATACTGAGCGCTGTCCACTCAGCTGTTAGGCCCCCTGACCCAATATCATGTGAGGAGCTGTCAGGCCCAACTTTAACCCTTTGCTATGTAACCCTTTGCTATGTAACCCATTGTTACTTTATTTTAAATAAGCGAAAACTAACAGATCGCTTTTGTGCGTCGAGAAAATTTATGTTCGAGAAAAAAAGAAATGATAGGAGGTGTAACTCTGATAATGATCCCAGATAAATTTTTCTGCACATGTTCTTCTCACATACGGTAATAATGTTTGCACTGTAGGAATGTTGCTATAGCAGCCTCTTTCACTTAATGCAATATTTATTGCCAGGATAACCTTACTTCATCAAAATAGTGGGAGTGAGAAAATGTGTGCACTATCATCATCTAAATAAAACAGCACCCCAATGGCATGTCCCTGTGGAGCATTAGCTCCAGTAATCAATCGACAAGATATAATATTCTAAAAGACAACCAAATAAAGGGTTCTTCGTATCTTAGAGAGTTCACTAATGGATTTTAATATGAACCCAACCTAACATTGTTACAAAGTATGTTTCATGTTTGAAAAGATGTTATAAAGGCTGTGCACGATTTGACCAAACACCAAACAACCTCGCATTATGTACCAAGCTGACAAAGTTTAATTATAAGCAGGGAGCCCCACACGTCAATTCGTACTAAAGACAGTCCACAAACAGATTTTAAAGCGTACCAAACCTTACCCAAATTTGCCCCAATCCATACCTACATCTTCTTCTTGAGGTTATCTTGAGATGATTTCGGGGCTTCAGTGTCCCCGCGGCCTAGTCCTCAACCAGGCCTCCACCCCCAGGAAGCAGCCCGTGACAGTTGACTAACACCCAGGTACCTATTTTACTGCTAGGTAACAGGGGCATAGGGTGAAAGAAACTCTGCCCATTGTTTCTCGCCAGCGCCCGGGATCGAACCCGAGACCATAGGATCACAAGTCCAGAGTGCTGTCCGCTCGGCCGACCGGCGTAACCCAACTCCATAAACACCCTAAACTAACCTAACACACCCTGACCTAATATCATATTTGGAAAATGTGAAAATGATGTATGATTTATTTATTTATATATATACAAGAAGTTACATTGGGTTTATGAGAGTACATAACATGGTGTGTTAACATTCTTGTAAAGCCACTAGTATGCACAGCGTTTCGGGCAGACATGATCTGACCGAACACTGAAGGGAAAGACAACCTGATGATGATCCACTCATCAACAATAGTCAAGTTTGGTCAGGGGTCACCTGGCATGAGTGTCCTTCACTTTCACTTCTCAGCCTTGCACTCTACAGAGTTGCTGCCGCTGCTGCCACTCTACACATGGAGCTATGGCCAGTTCCACACCTGTGGAGTGCCCTACACACCCTCACACCACACCCTCACACCACACCCTCACGCCACACCCTCACGCCACACCCTCACGCCACACCCTCACACCACACCCTCACACCACACCCTCACACCACACCCTCACACCACACCCTCACAGCATACCCTCACACCACAAAATATAAACAATTAGTGTAGTAGTAGTGTGGAGAAGAGCTCCCAGCAAGGAAGCCTCACCCCCATACTCGACGAGGAAGCCTCACCCCCATACTTAACATGGAAGCCTCACCCCCACGCGTAACGAGGAAGCCTCTACCCACCCCTAGTATAACCCTGGCAAGATCTTGCCACCATTTTCCCTGTATAGTTACGTGACTAAGACCACGAACATCCCCCCCATATTGAGGTAATGGTGGGTGGAGCGGCGGGAAGACGGCCATGGCTCACCTGTCCTTCCTCTTGGCCTTATAGACGTGGCCGTAGGTGCCGCGGCCCACCTTGCACCCCTCGTACCCGAACAGCTCCTCCACCTTGGCCCGCTCGTTGTTCCGCTTCTCCTTCCATTCAAAGTCCATGACGGCGGCCTAGTGCATAGTGTGGCCCCGCCGGCGGTCGCCCCGAGACTGGCGCCCCCGCCCGCTTCTTGTTGTGGCTTCCCGCCATCCTCTTGTTGTTGTTGTGGCTTCCCGCCGCCCGCTTGTTGTTGTGGCTTCCCGCCATCCTCTTGTTGTTGTTGTGGCTTCCCGCCACCCGCTTGTTGTTGTGGCTTCCCGCCACCCGCTTGTTGTTGTGGCTTCCCGCCATCCTCTTGTTGTTGTGGCTTCCCGCCGCCCGCTTGTTGTTGTGGCTTCCCGCTGTCCTCTTGTTGTTGTTGTGGCTTCCCGCCACCCGCTTGTTGTTGTGGCTTCCCGCCACCCTCTTGTTGTTGTTGGGGCTTCCCGCCACCCGCTTGTTGTTGTGGCTTCCCGCCGCCCTCTTGTTGTTGTTGGGGCTTCCCGCCGCCCTCTTGTTGTTGTTGTGGCTTCCCGCCACCCGCTTGTTGTTGTGGCTTCCCGCCACCCGCTTGTTGTTGTGGCTTCCCGCCACCCTCTTGTTGTTGTTGTGGCTTCCCGCCACCCGCTTGTTGTTGTGGCTTCCCACCACCCTCTTGTTGTTGTTGTGGCTTCCCGCCACCCGCTTGTTGTTGGGGCTTCCCGCCATCCTCTTGTTGTTGTTGTGGCTTCCCGCCGCCCGCTTGTTGTTGTGGCTTCCCGCTGTCATCTTGTTGTTGTGGCTTCCCGCCGCCCGCTTGTTGTTGTGGCTTCCCGCTGTCCTCTTGTTGTTGTGGCTTCCCGCCGCCCGCTTGTTGTTGTGGCTTCCCGCCACCCGCTTGTTGTTGTGGCTTCCCGCCACCCGCTTGTTGTGGCTTCCCGCCATCCTCTTGTTGTTGTGGCTTCCCGCCACCCGCTTGTTGTTGTTGTGGCTTCCCGCCACCCTCTTGTTGTGGCTTCCCGCCACCCGCTTGTTGTTGTGGCTTCCCGCCACCCGCTTGTTGTTGTGGCTTCCCGCCACCCGCTTGTTGTTGTGGCTTCCCGCCACCCTCTTGTTGTTGTGGCTTCCCGCCATCCTCTTGTTGTTGTGGCTTCCCGCCGCCCGCTTGTTGTTGTGGCTTCCCGCCGCCCGCTTGTTGTTGTGGCTTCCCGCCGCCCGCTTGTTGTTGTTGCTGGCTTCCCGCCGCCCGCTTGTTGTTGCTGGCTTCCCGCCGCCCTCTTGTTGTTGCTGGCTTCCCGCCGCCCTCTTGTTGTTGCTGGCTTCCCGCCGCCCTCTTGTTGTTGTGGCTTCCCGCCGCCCGCTTGTTGTTGTTGCTGGCTTCCCGCCGCCCGCTTGTTGTTGTTGCTGGCTTCCCGCCGCCCGCTTGTTTTTGTTGCTGGCTTCCCGCCGCCCTCTTGTTGTTGCTGGCTTCCCACCGCCCACTTGTTTTTGTTGCTGGCTTCCCGCCGCCCGCTTGTTTTTGTTGCTGGCTTCCCGCCGCCCACTTGTTGTTGCTGGCTTCCCGCCGCCCTCTTGTTGTTGTGGCTTCTCGCCGCCCTCTTGTTGTTGTGGCTTCCCGCCGCCCTCTTGTTGTTGTGGCTTCCCGCCGCCCTCTTGTTGTTGTGGCTTCCCGCCGCCCTCTTGTTGTTGTGGCTTCCCGCCGCCCTCTTGTTGTTGTTGGCTTCCCGCCGCCCTCTTGTTGCTGGCTTCCCGCCGCTCGCTTGTTGTTGTTGCTGGCTTCCCGCCGCCCGCTTGTTGTTGTTGCTGGCTTCCCGCCGCCCTCTTGTTGTTGCTGGCTTCCCGCCGCCCGCTTGTTGTTGTTGCTGGCTTCCCGCCACCCGCTTGTTGTTGTTGTGGCTTCCCGCCGCCCTCTTGTTGTGGCTTCCCGCCGCCCTCTTGTTGTTGTTGGGGCTTCCCGCCGCCCTCTTGTTGTTGTGGCTTCCCGCCACCCTCTTGTTGTTGTGGCTTCCCGCCGCCCGCTTGTTGTTGCTGGCTTCCCGCCACCCGCTTGTTGTTGTGGCTTCCCGCCACCCGCTTGTTGTTGTTGCTGCTGGCTTCCCGCCGCCCGCTTGTTGTTGTTGCTGGCTTCCCGCCGCCCGCTTGTTGTTGTTGTTGGCTTCCCGCCGCCCTCTTGTTGTTGCTGGCTTCCCGCCGCCCACTTGTTTTTGTTGCTGGCTTCCCGCCGCCCGCTTGTTGTTGCTGGCTTCCCGCCACCCTCTTGTTGTTGTGGCTTCCCGCCGCCCTCTTGTTGTTGTGGCTTCCCGCCGCCCTCTTGTTGTTGTTGTGGCTTCCCGCCGCCCTCTTGTTGTTGCTGGCTTCCCGCCGCCCTCTTGTTGTTGCTGGCTTCCCGCCGCCCGCTTGTTTTTGTTGCTGGCTTCCCGCCGCCCGCTTGTTGTTGTTGCTGGCTTCCCGCCGCCCGCTTGTTGTTGTTGCTGGTTTCCCGCCGCCCGCTTGTTGTTGTTGCTGGCTTCCCGCCGCTCTCTTGTTGTGGCTTCCCGCCGCCCGCTTGTTTTTGTTGCTGGCTTCCCGCCGCCCTCTTGTTGTGGCTTCCCGCCGCCCGCTTGTTTTTGTTGCTGGCTTCCCGCCGCCCTCTTGTTGTGGCTTCCCGCCGCCCGCTTGTTTTTGTTGCTGGCTTCCCGCCACCCTGTTGTTGTTGTTGTGGCTGGCTTCCCGCCTCCTGCTTCCCGCCTCTAGCAGGAAAGTAATTAATTTTTATTGCTGAATTTGAACATTGCTGAACATTGTCTATCTGAAGCTGAATTGTTTTTTTTATTTGCTCCCAAATAAGATGTAGTAGGTCTTTTGTATGTTTAGTGTGTGTTTGTTGGTTAACACCTGTAGCGAGTATATTATGTCCCACTCGCTCTAAGCTCTCATTAGCTTAAGGAGATAAGTCTACTTAATCCATTAAATCTTTTCCCTAATTGCAGGTAACATTCTTTCCATCCTATTGGAGGAAGCTGAGGTGTAGTCCAATAATATGAGCAATCAAGAAGCGAGTAAGCATCCTCCAGGTTACAGCCCCGCTCCTGTGCCAGGTAAGTCTACTACGGGCTCACCATAGCCCGTGCTACTTGGAAGTTTTTGTTCCCAGTAGCTGAATCTTAAGCAACGACAACAACGAGTAAGCATCAGTGCAATTTCCACAGTGATTCAGATAACTTCAGTCAGACGCTTCGGAGTTATCACACCCCTTCAACCTCAAGAATGTAGCACTCGGTGTATGCAGTTCTAATTATCGACCCCATGATGCTCCAGCTTCGACACAGAGCAGACAGCAGACAGCAGACTACGACTGCACCGAGTTTAGACTCTCACCAGATAGTTTAGTTCATTTATTATGCACCCCATACCCATCTTGTGGGCGGTAGTGGAAATTAGGGTTACAGAGGCACATAATGGGCTCAGGGACTGAACCCCACAATTCATTTAGCTAAGCAAGTTACAATCTTGATGAGCTAGTTACAAAATTCAATATAAGTTGTCACATCAACAATGGGCTCGAGATCGACCACAAGTACAGTTTCTAAATTAAGCAACTGACATATGTGGAGAGCCTAGTGTCACAATTGATATGTTTGTCCTGCACACCGCCCCCCATCCAGTGGGCAGCGGTGGATAGGTTACAATCACTTAGTTACTACCTACAGTTAGCAAACTGGGGATATTTGGCTGCTTGTAGATTAGTTTTTCAAATATTTTTGACAAAGTAGGCAGGATTGATATAGATCTGTAGTTGTTAACATCTGTGAGATCACCACATTTGTGGACAGGGGTTACTTTCGCTTTTTTAGAATATCTGGAAAGGTTTGGAGTTCAAGTGACTTGTTGAAGAGCAAAGCAATAGCAGAGGCTAAAGTTCTGGAGGCTTTTACTGACAGGCTTCTATTTGCTGACGACACAACCTTCATTTACTCCAGTCCTGACCCCCTTGCTCTAAATGCCACAGTAAATACTGAGCTAAATAAAGTCCATCTTTGGCTAACTGCCAACAAACTCACCCTTAACATTGACACAACTTTCTATATTCTGTTTGGCAATAAATCCTCTAATCAAATAAATCTCAGAATAAACAATACCCAAATTTGTAACAAAATAGATGGCAAATTCATTGGCGTTCTCATTGACCACAAGCTGAATTTCTAGGGACACATTCCAAATATATAAAAAGAAAAGTTTCAAAAACTGTTGGCATTCTTTCTAAGATCAGATATTATGTACCCCGCCCTGCTCTGGTGACGCTCTATTACTCTCTCATCTATCCATATCTCAACTATGGTATTTGTGCTTGGGGTTCTACTACCCAAAATCATTTACATCCTCTAATTACTCAACACAAAGCTGCTATTAGGACAACATCTAACTCTGGCCCCAGACAGCACTCGGTACCCCTACTCAAATCTCTGAATATGTTAGACATTAAGTCACTGTACATTCTCTCATGTGTATTATACATATATATAAAACGCTGAACTGTAATGCCAATCCTGACCTCAAAAGCTTCATTGAAGGTTGTAACAGAGCCCATGAGCATCACACCAGAAACAAATACAGTTTTGATATTCCAAGAGTACGACTTAATCAAACTAGAAATGCTCTACAAATCAAGCTAGGAACCCAGAATGTGGAATGACCTTCCCAATCATGTTAAAGACTGTGCCTCTCTCAACCAGTTTAAGATAAAAACGAAGCACTACCTAATAAATTCCCTGTAACCTACCTTACCCCTCTGTTGTCAACCCATGTCTGTCTTTTTAAAAACCGCTGTTTGTCGACCTAATTATATTTGTGCTGCTTTTTCAGCCATGTTCCCCTCTTTCTTATTTTTATTTTTATTTGTTCTCAACACATTTTATACTTTAAACTCAATTAGTATTAAGTTTTAGTCTTTAATGTTTTTCCTGCCCGAAACGCTTTGCGTAATAGTGGCTTAATTTAGGCATTGTATGTACCAGCTCTATCTATAAACCTAGCAATTTTTGTAAAAATCTCTTATATGTATGTACCTTACTTGAATAAACATTTATTTATTTATTTATTTATTTATTTATTTATTTATTTATTTATTTATTTTAACAACTTCTTTTGTAACTAGGCCAATCCTTAGTTTATTTTCATATTCATGTTTTCTGACCAGGGGGAGAAAGATACTGGCAGTATGGGGCGTTAAAGTTTATTGAAGATTAAATTCTGCAGAACATGTAAATATATAAAGTTCACATAAAGTAAGTAATTATATAAAGTTTATATTAAACACGGTTTATATTATAGACTTAACAAAGTTGATATTATATAAAACTTAATATTGAACATGTAAATATACAAAGTTTCAAATATAATTTAAGGAATATATAACGTTTATATTAAAATATATAAAGTAAATATATAAAGTAAATATATAAAGTAAGAATTAACAGTAACAATTCCAAGGACTAGATTTAACTTAAAAGGTACACCCGTAGTAAGTATGAGACCTTAGCCTATAGTGACATGGAAACTAATTCTGCAGAAACCTAAAGGTTAACTGGTACTAGAATTAAGGCCGAGTGCAAATGTGTAGTAATTATATAACACTAGGATATAACAGGCAGGACACAAAGAATAACTAATAAGTGAGAGACCACATAACACGTAATGTACCCGGCCAAGAGGCCGTAAAAGACCTAATGGATAAGGAGAAGGGGGTGTGACTACAAGTAGGGCTTACTAGCACCTAGACTGGGCAAAGTATTAGCTGCGGACAGCGGGACACTTGGGGACCGGCGCTGCACCCCCCTTCCCACATGCAGTGGGGAGACAATCGGGACAACTGTGCAAAGCATGACGGGGGTACAAAAGCAGCCGCTTGCAAAGGGGGGGAGGGTGGGGTTTTGCGAGGGCAGCGGCGAGGGCAGGCGGAGTGAGGCGGAGCCCCATTGTGCGCCCGTATTTATACGGCCCCAAACTGCCCGCGCAACGCCGCGGGACGCGCTGCGCAATTGTTTCTTTCTCCCCCGCCAGAAACATCCCCGCTTGTGATGCAAGCAGTGACCATTTCTTGTTGATTGATTTTAATATGCCACTTGTGAGCCATGATTGTTTAATCTTTTGTCAGTTACTTGTTTGGTAAGGAGGGGACAGTGAGTGTTGTAGAGGCTTAATAGAGTTTTGGAGAGAAAGAGGTTAGCTAATGAATTTATATCCTGTGTATTATTGAAATCAGATTCCCAGTTAATATTGTGAAGTGCATTTGTAAGGTTGCCTAAAGCTGCTTCACTGTGTAGCCTGAATGTAAGTTTCTTGCTTTCTGGTGGTGTTGTGTCCATGTTTGCTATGAGGAAGATATAATCTGCTATAATAGCAGATTTGTGCTGGGTGATGATGGGCTCCAGGTAATCGACAGTGGTTGAACCCCCATGCTCAGATACTGTATCATGTATCATGCTTAGTAGCATTATTGGTCTCTATTATTTCATTATATTTCAGTGTTATTATTCGTATTTACATAAACTGTTAGTTTAGTTAATTTATTATGCACCACATATCCATCCTGTAGGCGGTAGTGGATAATAAACTCTCCTAGAGGATTAGTAATACGTAATCGATTTTTAAGATTTATTTTCTAGATATACATCTATGAACATTGACATTTCTGGATGATTTCATTTGTTATTTTGTGTAAAACTAAATATTAGGTTTAGGCTCGGCGCCTGTCCCAGCTGGCCGTCGCCCCTCAACACAACAACAACAACTTCTCTGCTGATCTCCACATATCGCATCTGATCCCACGATCGTCGTCGCCCCTAAATCAACAACACGTATCACGAAGAAGAAGAAGAAAGGTCTTGACAATGGCCGTGTCTAGGAGACAACTGAGAGCTGCACACGCGCGCCGCTCAAGATTAAGAAGACGGCAAGTCATAGGCCGGGGAGGGACCAGGGCCAGCAGCGGGTCTGGTGACCAGGCCACAGCCATGACCAGGCAGCAGAGGTCTGGTGCCCGTGCTCGCCATCAGGCACCTTCATGTCAAACTTTCCCGGAGGACGGAGCAGTAGCCGCCACTTCCTGTGGCCAGGCGACAGGATCAGGTGCTTCCAGCAGGCAGGCAGCAAGACCAGGTACTTCCAGCAGGCAGGCAACAAGGCCAGGTACTTCCAGCAGCCAGGCAACAAGGCCAGGTACTTCCAGTGACCAGGCGACAGGACCAGGTACTTCCAGCAGGCAGGCAGCAAGACCAGGTACTTCCAGCAGCCAGGCGACAGGACCAGGTACTTCCAGCAGCCAGGCGACAGGACCAAGTACTTCCAGCAGCCAGGCAACAAGACCAGGTACTTCCAGTGACCAGGCGACAGGACCAGGTACTTCCAGCAGGCAGGCAACAAGGCCAGGTACTTCCAGTGACCAGGCGACAGGACCAGGTACTTCCAGCAGGCAGGTAGCAAGACCAGGTACTTCCAGCAGCCAGGCAACAAGACCAGGTACTTCCAGTGACCAGGCGACAGGACCAGGTACTTCCAGCAGCCGGGCAACAAGATCAGCTACTTCCAGCAGGCAGGCAACAAGACCAGGTACTTCCAGTGACCAGGCGACAGGACCAGGTACTTCCAGTAACGTTTTGGTTACTCGTAATGTTTCGACCAAGCGTAAAGTAAATCAAAGTAAGAAAGGTAAAGAGCCTGTAGAAGATTGTGGGACGAATGCAATAATCTCTGCCAAAAAGTTGGTAGACTATCTTGATACTCGTGCGTGTAATTCCTGTCGACTTCCTGCGTTGAAACATAGAATAATTAATTACCAATGTGATGTGATTATCGAGAAAAGGTGTACTGTTTGTATGCTCGTGACTCGAACCACTCTCGTGAGCAATAATGAAACCCTGAAGGCATTAGTTTTGAGCAATATGCTCGCTGGTCAAGGTTATAGATCATTCTTAAATATGAACCGGGGATTGAGTATGTCAGGTGTTTCAAGAAAAGACTATAAAAAGTTCCGGAACATGATCGGAGAAAAGGCACGTGAAAAATGGTTAGAGGTACAAGCGGAATCTCATGACAAGATCGTAGATTATTATTGTAGAGAATTGAATAGAGCAAAAGATGAGGAAGGCTTCCTCGACATTGATGTGTTCTTTGACGGGTTGTGGCACACAAAGGAACATCCCGGTAATTCCCAAGTTGGTATTGCCTTTTTAGTTGAAATTTTCACCGGATTAGTTGTAGACTACAACGTGTTTCACAAAAAGTGCAAGCAGTGCCAAACATTTGATGAACAGAAGAGAGAAGGAAACCTGACAGAGGCAGAGTATGAAGAGAAGAAGATGGAACATGTTCCACATTGCCATAGAAATTATAGTGACACTGCTGAGAATATGGAGGGAGATGCAGCGGTAGTTTTGTGGCATCGATCAAAAGACTACAAACTCAGGTATATGACCTTTGTGAGTGATGGTGAACGAAGTGCATACCATAAGGTTTGTGCACTGAACAATGGTGCTGGACCATATGGGGCACAGAAGAAGATAGAAAAGCCCAACATACGCATGTATTTCATGGGAAAGAGACAAAATTTAAATAACTTGAATAAGTCGCTACACCAACGAGTTTGGCATTTCAACCCAGAAGACACATTTGTTTCTCGAACCATGACTGACTTCTGTATTGCCACTACAGCTGTGACTTACAATGTTGGGTATACGAAAGGGTACCTGGACAATCTCATTGGTATCCCTCGAAATGAACAAATGGCAAGGCTCCTCAAAAAAATGGATGAAAAGATGGAAAAATCTACTAGATGCACCAAGAAGCCGAAACTGGTTCAGTAGGGAGGGGGGCCACTGCCTGTTAGCATCCAATGTACTGCCACCTGGAGTATCCAAATTTCACACCCGTTATGATGAGTATGTTCTATTGCTGTATTTTATACTGCACTTTGTTAGTTATAAAATATATGCATTGGCAAATGTTAATAATTTTCTATGCAAAAAAAAAATATATATACATATATATATATATATATATATATATATATATATATATATATATATATATATATATATATATATATATATATATATATATATATTAGTATATTTTGGTAGCAGTCTTTCCTGTAAACATATATTATTAAATATGACCGAAAAAGTAAGATTAATAATTCTAACACGAATTTTCTCAATCTTTCGTACATTTCTTTTCACTGTTGGAGGTAAATCAAAAATCAATTCTCCAAAATTAATTTTTATTTCAAGTCTGACGCGACACGAGCGCGTTTCGTAAAACTTATTACATTTTCAAAGACTTTAGTTTACAAATACACAACTGAATAGAACTTACGCATCTCCGATTTTATATCTACATTTTAGTGAGGTGGATGGGGTGAGGTGGCATTAATAGGGTATTAATTTCATCAACACAAGACAGAACAAGAGGTGGCATTAATAGGGTATTAATTTCATCAACACAAGACAGAACACGAAACAATGGGTATTGAATAGAAGTGTTTGTAGAAAGCCTATTGGTCCATATTTCTTCATGCTTCTATATTGGAGCGGAGTCTTGAGGTGGGTAGAATATAGTTGTGCATATAACCCACCTCAAGACTCCGCTCCAATATAGAAGCATCAAGAAATATGGACCAATAGGCTTTCTACAAACACTTCTATTCAATACCCATTGTTTCGTGTTCTGTCTTGTGTTGATGAAATTAATACCCTATTAATGCCACCTCTTGTTCTGTCTTGTGTTGATGAAATTAATACCCTATTAATGCCACCTCACCCCATCCACCTCACAAAAATGTAGATATAAAATCGGAGATGCGTAAGTTCTATTCAGTTGTGTATTTGTAAACTAAAGTCTTTGAAAATGTAGTAAGTTTTACGAAACGCGCTCATGTCACGTCAGACTAGAAATAAAAATGAATTTTGGAGAATTGATTTTTGATTTACCTCCAACAGTGAAAAGAAATGTACGAAAGATTGAGAAAATTCGTGTTAGAATTATTAATCTTACTTTTTCGGTCATATTTAATAATATATATATATATATATATATATGTCGTACCTAGTAGCCAGAACGCACTTCTCAGCCTACTATGCATGGCCCGATTTGCCTAATAAGCCAAGTTTTCTTGAAGTAATATATTTTCTCTAATTTTTTTCTTATGAAATGATAAAGCTACCCGTTTCATTCTATATGAGGTCAATTTTTTTTTATTGGAGTTAAAATTAACGTAGATACATGACCGAACCTAACCAACCCTACCTAACCTAACCTAACCTATCTTTATAGGTTAGGTTAAGTTAGGTAGCCGAAAAAGTTAGGTTAGGTAAGGTTAGGTAGGTTAGGTAGTCGAAAAACAAATAATTCATGAAAACTTGGCTTATTATGCAAATCGGGCCTTGTATACTAGGCTGAGAAGTGCGTTCTGGCTACTAGGTACGACATATATATATATATATATATATATATATATATATATATATATATATATATATTTATATTTATATATATATATATATATATATATATATATATATACATATATATATATATATATATATATATATATATATAACTGAAAACTCACACCCCAGAAGTGACTCGAACCCATACTCCCATATATATATATATATATATATATATATATATATATATATATATATATATATATATATATATATATATATATATATATATTTATATATATATATGTCGTACCTAGTAGCCAGAACGCACTTATCATCCTACTTTGCAAGGCCCGATTTGCCTAATAAGCCAAGTTTTCATGAATTAATATATTTTCTCAAATTTTTTTCTTATGAAATGATAAACCTACGCATTTCATTATGTATGAGGTCAATTTATTTTTTTTGGAGTTAAAATTAACGTAGATATACGACCGAACCTAACCAACCCTACCTAACCTAACCTAACCTATCTTTATAGGATAGGTTAGTTTAGGTAGCCGAAAAAGTTAGGTTAGGTTAGGTTAGGTAGGTTAGGTTGTCGAAAAAACATTAATTCATGAAAACTTGGCTTATTAGGCAAATCGGGCCTTGCATAGTAGGCTGAGAAGTGCGTTCTGGCTACTAAGTACGACATATATATATATATTTATATATATATATATATATATTTATATATATATATATATATATGTCGTACCTAGTAGCCAGAACTCACTTTTTGGCCTGCTATTCAAGGCCCGATTTGCCTAATAAGCCAAGTTTTCCTGAATTAATATATTTTTTCTAATTTTTTTCTTATGAAATGATAAAGCTACCCATTTCATTATGTATGAGGTCATTTTTTTTTATTGGAGTTAAAATTAACGTAGATATATGACCGATCCTAACCAACCCTACCTAACCTAACCTAACCTATCTTTATAGGTTAGGTTTGGTTAGGTAGCCGAAAAAGTTAGGTTAGGTTAGGTTAGGTAGGTTAGGTAGTCGAAAAACAATTAATTCATGAAAACTTGGCTTATTAGGCAAATCGGGCCTTGCATAGTAGGCTGAGAAGTGCGTTCTGGCTATTAGGTACGACATATATATATATATATATATATATATAATACAGTATATATATATATATATTTATATATATATATATATATATATATATATATATATATATATATATATATATATATATATATTTATATATGTCGTACCTAGTAGCCAGAACGCACTTCTCAGCCTACTATGCAAGGCCCGATTTGCCTAATAAGCCAAGTTTTCATGAATTAATTGTTTTTCGACTACCTAACCTACCTAACCTAACCTAACCTATCTTTTTCAGCTACGTAACCCAACCTAACCTATAGAGATAGGTTAGGTTAGGTAGGGTTGGTTAGGTTCGGTCATATATCTACGTTAATTTTAACTCCAATTAAAAAAAATTGACCTCATACATAATGAAATGGGTAGCTCTATCATTTCATGAGAAAAAAATTAGAGAAAATATATTAATTCGTGAAAACTTGGCTTATTAGACAAATTGGGCCTTGCATAGTAGGCTGAGAAGTGCGTTCTGGCTACTAGGTACGACATATATATATATATATATATATATATATATATATATATATATATATATATTTATATATATATATATATATATATATATATATATATATATATATATATATATATATATATATATATATATATATATATATATATCTGCATTTGGGTGAGGTGATATGTTACAACAGTTTTGGATGAGGTGAAAACAAAATTTCAACACAAGACAGAACACAAAACAATGGGTATAATATTTTGTAAGTTAAAGGGAAGAATGGAAGTAACTGCAAAGGGCCTATTGGCCTATATTTCTTGATGCTTCTATATTGGTGCGGAGTCTTGAAGTGGGTAGAATATAGTTGTGCATTAATTGGCCAGCCAATTATTGCACAACTATCAACTATATTCTATATCTATATATATATATATATATATATATATATATATATATATATATATATATATATATATATATATATATATATAAATAACAAGTGAATATAATTCTTGGTTATTAAGATTGTTGGACTTTGAAATTTCTGAAAAGCAGAAGCGGGTAAATGAGTTGAAAAGTGAATTGCATGTGAACTTGGAGAAATTCAAGATCTTGGTTTCCTGGATTGATTTTACATCCTTAAAATGTAAATATGAGAATTATAATGACAAAAGGCTTGACAAATGTAGACTTATTCACGGGATGAAAATGAGGAACTTGAGTTTACCTACATTTAATTCGGTGGACCCTGATAAGGTGGTTTTTAATTTTTCAAAGAGAATTTTGTATCCCATCGAGAAAAAACTTCTCTCTCTGGGGTTAGACTTCGGCTTGACGTAAAAAAACCTAAATTTGTTAATCATTTTTTAGGTTTAGAGCGGTTATGTAATACATTGAAAACTTGCACCCTGAGGACTGGTACAAATTATAGTTGGACCAATATCATCTGTTTCTTCCTTAGCACATGAAGTCTTTAATGACTTCAATAAATATAAATCTACATTCCCTTTATTTGATAAAAGGAAATTAGATTGTATTAATGGCTTAAAGAATGATTGGGGTATTTGTATTACTAGACCAGATAAAGGTAGGGGTATAGTGGTTTTGGACAAGTTAGATTATGTAAATAAGGTTGAAAGGTTGTTAGAAGACCCCTCTAAATTTAAGTTGGTTGATATAGACCCCTTTTCGTATATTTTGAAATGTGAGGATAAACTAAATAGAGTTGAAAGAAGTCTGAAAGACTTTCCTTTTGATTATACAAAATTGCTTGCAACTGGCTGTAAGCCAGGCATCTTATATGGGTTACCTAAAGTTCATAAAACAGGTATACTGATTCGTCCTATTTTGTCAGCGATTGGTACTTTTAATTACAAACTGGCAAAGTTTCTAGTTCCATTATTAGAACCATTAACGCATAATGAATTTACTGTGAGAAATTCTCAGGATTTTGTAAAGGAACTTTCCTCTTTGAATTTTGAGTTCCCAACTATAATGGCGAGTTTGATGTTGAATCACTCTTCACTAATATTCCTTTGTTGGAAACTATTGATATTTGTGTAAATCAGTTATTTGCTGACACTAATTTAGTGTCTGGATTTTGTAGTAAAATGTTTAGACGGTTGTTAGAATTAGCGGTTAAAGACTCTGTCTTTATGTTTAATAATAAATATTATAAACAAATTGATGGAGTAGCAATGGGGTCTCCATTAGGTCCTGCACTTGCTAATGCTTTTTTTGAGTTTTCATGAGAGAAATTGGCTTGATAAATGTCCTTTGGACTTTAAACCAGTCTTGTATAGGAGATATGTAGATGACACTTTTTTGTTTTTTAAGGACCAATGTCATATTGAGAAATTTAGAGAGTATCTTAATG